TTTGAACTTCAGTGATTTGACTTTGCAATCCATTCTTTCACCTACATCCTATCAACCTTCCCTGAGGCCCAATGTGGCTTGTTTCAGAAAGGAATGTCTCAAACAAGCAAGACCAATCAGAGCCCTTCTCTGGGACTCTGAACTTGAGACTGTTTCTTTCTGGTGGGGAGGATGTGAGGCAATGACCCTCCACACATACACAGGCCAGCAGGTACCATCTCTAGTAGAAAGCCAGGCTGTTTGACACAGAGAAACCAAGAGATAAGGTAAGAAGTTTGGGGCTCCTTCACTTAACCCCTTGCTCTTCTTTTTGTTAGATAAGCTTTCCAACAGTGACGCCCCTTTTATTCTGCCTCAGTCAGTTCAACAGTGTTCTTGTCGCTATCAACCCGAGTAGTCCTAGCTGATACAGAAGACTGTGGCGCTCTCCCAAATGGGCCAACATTTATGAAAAAGCATCAAAGCACGTTGGAGTTTAACACAAACTGYATTTCCTGACTTTCTATTTGATGTATGAATGAGGATGATGACTTTGATAAAAGTGCCTTCCGTGGGTTTATAAATGAGTAATAAGTCGGATTTTGTTTTGTCAAATGCGGTAACATCTTGCGTACATCTTTCCAGTGAAGCAGATGGCCTGATACATACTTTCTTAAACTAAGATTTTTTTTTTCCAACCTGCTCATCTAATATGTCAAAATGCAGATCCTTTGCAATTGATAGCTTTTCTGGGAAAAATGGTCATGAGTCCTAGACTCCCACAAATAGATTTAAAGTGGCATTTCTTTGCTGGGTTTTGAGACTTTTTTTTTTTTTAAATAGCTCTCTGAGTCTCACGTGCCTTATGTACAAAATGGTGGGACTGAACTTCAAGGAACKTTTATAGCTTCCAGGGTCCTTTTGAATTCTAAAATTCATAATTAAAATTAAGTTAAATATCAGCTCAAAAGGAATTTGWGGCCATTTGCTTTCTTGGGGCCTAATGTTGACATTTCTCATTTCAAATGTGATCTTTTGTTGTTGTTGTTGTTCAACTCTTCAATGTCTAGTGTCACATTTCTCCCAGAGTCTTCTGCAAGATGGCTAGACCTTAGGATGCTTCTCAGGAAACACTTTGTTCATTGATCAAAAATTATAGGCTCTCTCTTCTTAGGGGGATTCATGGGGCACACACACAAGCAATTTCAATGCCCTGAGCAATTTTTTCAGTTAAAAAAAAAACCGATATAACTTACATTACCCTAAAATTTTCCAAACTTATTCGGTCACAACCCAATCTGCAAAAACATTGATAACACGATTGGGAACTGCCAGTTTAACACATTCTCTTTAGTTTTATATAGTAGAATAGTTGTCATGATTGCCTTCAGTGTGAGAATGTTTAAAATGTCATGATGCTATTTTTACCTCACTTCCTGGGTATAACTTTTTAAAAAAATTGTCTTGAAAAGTGACTGTTAGGTGATGATGATTTGATTCTATGACGAGGTACCATCATACTAATCCTTTCCCTGAACTCGAAACAGCTATAAAGATTCCTTTTGGTTGGCCAGAAGAGGGAAGCAGAGGACCTGAGATGGCATTGGAAACCCCTACAAGTGACTTGGGAACAATCTTGAGATAAGGCAGGAAGTCTAAACGCTTGCCTTGGAGAGACCATCTTTCAAGYACAGTGATCCATTTGCACTTCAACTGTGTCATCTTTGGAACTCAAGGTTCCATGGTTGGAAGCCATCACTTCCACCATTAAGTATTTCCTAGAATTTCCACAGGAAACAGGTTTCCTTAAAGTTGGGGAGCACCAGGAAGGGGTTGATGGCGGCATCAGTAATCAGAGAGACAAGACCAGGGCAGGAACASATCTGGAGTGCACAGCAACAATTTCCAAGAGCTGGGGTCTTCTTGCTGCACCTATTGATATCTATGAGCCACCACTGCTCAGGTGGGCTCAGAGCAGAGTAACCATTTGCCAAGGCATTAACTATACAAGTGGCCTTAAGAATGACAGCTCTGTTTTCATTCATGTGGCTTGTTTTGAGGGACATGATGTTTGGGGAGATAATAATGGGTTTGGATTMATGGTTCTGAACGCTGAATCCTGTCTTGCCAGAGTTATGCCCTTGCCCATGGGGTCTGCCAGGGTGACATCAAGTTCAGAGGACAGGGTCAGGAAAATGCAAGATGTTTTGGCTCCAAATACTACTCCAAACCATTGAGAAGCTGGGATAACCACAGAAGGATTCTCCATGTCTTGACTAAAGGCAAAATTAAACATCAAGCCTAAGTGGGTCCTTCTTAGCACCTTTCCCCCCTAAGTTTATAACTTTCTCAGGTTTCTGTGTTTTAACTTTTTGTTGGGGGGGGGGCAGGAAGGACGAATCCTAGGATTCCAGTGGAAGCACAGGGAAATGTGCTTTAAAATTTTGAGCAAAAYAACTTCTTAGCACCTCAGAGGTACAAAAGAAAAATGCCCAAGACATGAACTCCCAAGAAGATGATGTGGCCCATAAAATGCCCATGAACTTACCTCATCCTCATTACCCTTTTACCACTTTACCTTGGACGTGTGGGTGGGAATTAATGAGAGAGGATGAGGCCAAGAAAACGGGGTGAGGAACGTGGGAGAGGTCATCCTCTAACTCCCCTTTCTTTCTCCCTCCACTGGCTTCCTCCTTTCCCTTTTTTTACCCTAATACCACCTGTCAAAAGCCCCTTCACGTAGACTTCAGGGGCACGGCACCCATGCTTTGTTCTGCTATATTTTCAGCTTCCCATCTTGCCGTAGTCTGGCTGGGCACAATTCAGGAGCCACTTGTCAAAAGACACGAACTTTATTTTTAGAACCACACACTCCAAACAGAACAGCTCCTCAGGGAAAACCCTTAGAGCCCAAATGCCACCACCGGCTTCCCCCAAGCCTCTCTCACAAAACAAGCCTCACCACCTCCCACAATCCTCCTGCTCTTGCAGCCGATTGGCTGGGTCCCATGGGAGGAGCCAAAGAAGTCCCCCAATGAGCATCACCGCAGAGGAGCCAATCAGCTAGATGTTGCTGGGGCAGCTGTGGGCCAATCATCAGCTGGCAGTCTGAAAGTTTGCTGGGGCCTCTTGGGCTGTGGCTCTCAACACCATCTCTTGTGGTTCTGTAAGGAGGAGAGAAGGGTTTTACCGATTCTTAATGGTATTGCCCTCTCTTCCTGGCAGCTCTCTCATTTCAAGTGTCCTGTTATATGCCACTGGATTTCCAGGGGAGTTCTGTGCAAGGCAAGGAGCAGCAGCAAATGAGAATCAATGTAGGACACTGTTCACAGCTGAGCTAAGATCCTGATACGTAGGGTCTCTGCTCAAGGATGCACTTGAGCACCCGGCTTGAGCCTCAGTGTCTCCCTGGATCTTTTTATTTCTCTTCAAATTGAAATGCTACGCATATTAGTTGATAGAAAAATCCCTGCCCTATGAGGTCATTTACCCTCTGGCACCATGCAGAGGAAGAGAGAAGAAATCTTACATCCCTTCTTATCTCCCGGTGGCAAGAAGCAGAAAGTACAGGAGAGCAGGGCTCATCTGCTGCCATTTCTACACAGAACCCACACCCACTAAAAATAGAAGCCAACTAAAAACCTTGGGCTGAGACCAAACTGTTTACCGACTTTCTTCCCTTGAGTTGGGGGCGGGCCAGTAGGGAGAGCTGTGGGGGATATGAACAAAGACAGGATCTCCATTGTGTATAGAGAAAACATTTCCCATACGGTTCTTAACATCTGAAAATAAGTCATTACTAATTTTCGACTCCTAGGAAGGAAATCAACATTTTCTGAATGTCTATTATGACTTAGACTGTATGAGGCAAGCTTCCTCACAGTGTCTGTCAGGTTTCTTGGTTGTAAGTAACAAAAGTAGTACTGACCTACTTAAAGTGGAATAGAATTTAGCAAAAGGATATCAGACAATTCAGAGAATTGGCCAGGCAAAGCAGGTAATCGAGTTTATATATTCTGTAGCCAAAATCAATTCCAGAAATCAAAGGATCYCATCTTTGACTAGGGGACAACTGTTCAAGTTGGTTCATGGGGACACTGAAATGTAAACTTTGGGAAACTTCTTTTTACCTGGGACAAGATATCCTCTGCTCTGCTTGTACTYTTCCCTTTTCAGGCTTAGAATCAGACACTTTTTTCAAAGGCGTTCCCATTCATTTGAAAAGGAAATGATGTTTAGAGGCTATAATCTGGCCACCAGTGGTCTCATTCCAACTGGGTTGGTCTTTTTTTTTTTTCCTCCCTAGGCCTCTTTAATGGACAAATGCAGCATATATTATTTTATACATATCATATCATACATAATACATCATGAACTTGTATTGACTGAGGCTATAGTTTGAATATCCCTCAAAGCCATGTTTTAAAGACTTGACCCATAGCGTAGCACAATTGGGAAGTGGTAAAACCTTCAGGACAGGAGCCTAACCAGAAGTACGAAGGTCATGGGGGCTGTGCCCTGGATCCCATGCATTTTGTCTTCCTCTTTGCTCCCCAGCTTGGGATGTAAGCAGTTTTGTTCTGCCATGTGATCCCCACTGTCTAACCCCATTGTCAGCCTAGCAGGCCTATCAGAGGTCCAAAGCCACGAGTCTGCCTGATCATAGACAAGAACCTCCAGTACTGTGAGCCCAAATAAGCCTTTTCTCTTTCTAATTAATTATCTCACAGGTATTAAGTTTTAGTGATGGAAAGTTGACTCACATAATAGTTTCTATACAGACTCAGGAGTGTATGGTTTTTACCCAGCCTTATTGATCTTTCATCTATATTTTCTTTCTCCCATATCAAAATTCTCAATTTTCAATGGGACTGATATAGACTGAAATGTGTTTCCTCAGAATTCCTGTGTTGATGTTCCAACTCCTATAGGGCTATATTTGAAGATAGGGCCTTTGGGGAGGTAATTAAGTTTATATAAGGGTCATAAGAAGATAGACAGTTTTTTTTCCTCTTTTGCAGTCTACATAGAGGAAAGGCCGTGTGAGAACAYATGTACAATCCAAGAAGATTGAGCTCACCAGAAACCAACTATGCTGACACCTTTATCGTGGACTTCTAGCCTCAGAAATGTGAGAAAATAAATTTCTGTCGTTTATGCCACACAGTTGATGGTATTCTGTTATGGCAGTTGTAACAGACTAATATATTACCCTAATTATTTATATACTTTAGCCTTTAACACACACACACACACACACACACACACACACACACACACCATTGCCACCATTCACAATATGACTCCTATATGACTCCATTTAATTTTTTAAAAATAAATAGTAAATAGTTTAAAATTATTTATTTTTGCAAATTTTTTATTTGTCTTTAGCATATATACCACCAGAGATACACAGTCATTACCTTGTTGGAAAGTCACTTTTACTAGTCTCTTTCCATGTAGTTAAGCTATCATTTAGATACAAATTAGGATTATTTCCTTTTAGCTTCTACTCTTAGGGATTGCTTTTTAAAATTTTAAATTGGTTTCATAATTATGTAAAATATTACATGATTCTAAAGTCAAGTCTACAAGACATGCTTTACTCATCAAATGCTGAATTAGCATCTCTATGTCCAACTACAACTCTGTTTTCCCAGAAGGCTAAGAATATATTTAGGTGGCTTTATAACAACCTCTGTCACAGTGATCATTTGTGTTCTCTCTCTGCTTAGTTTTAATTTTTCTTTTGGGTTTAATAATTTATCATAATTTGTCCAATTTTAGATTTCTTTATTTTTTATCTTGCGGAAGACTTAGTGTATTTATCACATACAAGGATTTACATTTTTATCATATCTGAATAATTCTCAATAACTTTCTCTTCAAATATTTTTTTGGTTCCTTTTAGTCATACATAACAATAGAATTTATTTTGACATAATTATAAAAACATGGAGTATACTTTTTGTAATTAAGTCCCCAGTACTTCCTCTTCCCCTCCTTTCCTCCCATCCCGGTTCTCTTCCCTCTATTTTTTTTTGCTATTTACTTATAGTTATTTTTTTTAATTAGTGTCTTGTGGTTGTATGTGATAGTGACACACTGTGGTATATTCATATATGTACACAGGAAAGTTTGGTCAAATTCATTCCACTRTCTCTCCCTGTCCCATTCCTCCTCCCTTCCCTTTATTCCCCGTTGTCTACTCCACTGATCTTTCTTCTATTTTTTTTTTTTATCACCCACACCTATTTTGAACTAGCTTCCTCATATCAGAGATAACATTTGACCTTTGACTTGGGGACTGGCTTATTTCACTTAGTATGGTAGTCTCCAGCTTAATCCATTTACCAGCAAATGCCATAAAGTCATTCTTCTTTATTGTGTATGAATACTCCATTGTGTATATATATGCCATATTTTCTTTTTTTTAGAGCTGAGAATCAAATCTATATTTATTTAATTCTTTTTTATTGACTTTTTAAAAAAAMTAAATGACAGTGGAATTCTTATTACACATATACAGCACAATTTTTCATATCTCTGGTTGTATATAAAGTATGTTGACACCAATTCGTGTCTTCATACATGTACTTTGGATAATGATATTCATCACATTCCACCATCCTTGCTAATCCCTTGCCCCCTCCCTTCCCCTCCCACCCCTCTGCCCTATCTGGAATTCATCTATTTCTCCCATGCTCCCCCTCCCTACCCCACTATGAGTCACCCTCCTTATATCAGAGAAAACATTTGGTATTTGTTTTTTTGGGATTGGCTCACTTCACTTAGCATTATCTTCTCCAACGCCATCCACTTACCTGCAAATGCCTTGATTTTATTCTCTTTTAATGCTGAGTAAAATTCCATTGTGTATATATGCGACATATTTTTTTTTATCCATTCATCCATTGAAGGACATCTAGGTTGGCTCCACAGTCTAGCTATTGTGAATTGTGCTGCTATAAACATTGATGTGGCTGTGTCCCTGTAGTATGCTGTTTTTAGGTATAAACCAAGGGGAGGGATAGCTGAGCCATTCATCTGTTGAAGGGGCCTAGGTTGGCTCCATAGCTTGGCAATTGTGAATTGTGATGCTATAAACATTGATGTGACTGCCTCACTGTAGTATACTAATTTTAARTCTTTTGGATATGTACTGAGGAGTGGGATAATTGGGTCAAATGGTGGTTCCATTCCTAGTTTTTGGTCTCTTCAAATATTTCTTCTCTCTCATTTCCTTTAATCTTTCCTTTTGGAACTACAACTAATTGCTCCTCCTTAGTCTCTTTCCTGACTCTTAACTTGGTTTTTTATATTTACAATCCCTTTATCACTTGGTGTTACACTCTGATTAATTTCCTTAGATTAACCTTCTGGTAAAATAATTAGTTCTTCAATTGTGTTTATATCTGATACTTAATTTTTCCTTTGAATTTTTAATTCAAATTGCTAGATTTTTCTTTTAGGAAAGATTTTTCTAAAAGTCTATCTCCTCTTTTCACTTTGTTTTAAAAATACATATGTTATAGTCTCTTCAGATTATGCTAGTGTCTAACATTTGCAAAGCTGCTTATCTACTACTTGTTGAGCCTATTGATTTTTCTAAATAGTGGTTGATTTTGTAGCATAAAAATTTATTGTAAGCTGATCTTCAACGGGGATGTTTTCCCACCTTAAGACTTCCTTTGTTCTCTGTCAATGGTTGGCACAATTTTTTTTGTAAAGGGTCATGTAAGTACATGTTTTAGGTTTTATAAAGCACACACACACACACACAATTTCTGTGTTTTCTCCTCCTCCACTTCTTCCTTTCACTAAAACAAAACAAAACAAAAAAGAAAGAAAGGAAAGCAAAAACACTTTAAAAATGTAAAAACTACTCCTAAAATCCAAGTCATACAAAAACAGGCCACAGGCAGTGCTTGGTCTATGGCGTTAGCCTGCTGACTCCAGCTCGGGATGTTGGAATGTGTCCTTCCATCTGCTGAGTGTCAGGGATTTTTCTGACCTGAAACCAGTTTTACAGCAATTTCTTGACTCGGGGATGCCCACATCCCCTGGGTAGAGTACCTTTGGGCTCCACACTCAAAGTGTGGACTCAAGTTTTCTAAAGGAAGAGTTTTTCCTTTGATCAGAGTTCTCAGCAGATTCAAATTTTCTTACCACTCTCCTGGGTCAGGCTTGCACCTGGTTCCTGGGGGCACTCTTCAAGGTCCAGATTTCATGAATGATCTTTCTCATAGCCTCCCATRTTATACAGGCCCCAACTATATATCTATCTTATCTCCTAATGGACAAAAATTGACCAATGTTTGGCCAGTAGAGCCAATGTCTAGATCTGGTATCCTCATCCCAAGGCCCTAGTTACCAGTATAGAAGCTTCTAATTCTGGCTTTAAGTTCTTGCATTGTTTATCTATTATTGTTTTTATTTATTTTGGGAGGGAGATGAGCTATTATTTTCATTGTAGGTATTATATATCTTCTACCTTTTTCTTGTTGAAAAGTTAACGTATTCTTCCAAGCTTCCAGAGTAACTCTTAATCAGAAAACATGTTGATTATGATTATTATGATGATTTGCAATTTTGTGTAATGAACCTGGATCTTTGTGTATGTTAGGCAAACACACTGAGGGAAATATAGTGAGTAGCACCTCCAGTCCAAAGGTGTGGAATCATTTTGGTTTTTGTTTTGGGGTACTGGGGATTTAACCCAGGAGTTTGTTCATGCTAGGTAAGTGCTCAACCCCTGAGCCATTATTCCCAGCCTTTTTTTTTTTTTTTTTTTTTTTTGAGAAAGAGAGAGAGAGAGAGAGAATTTTTTTTAATATTTATTTTTTAGTTTTCGGCGGACACAACATCTTTGCTGAGGATTGAACCCGGGCCGCACGCATGCCATGCGAGAGCGCTACTGCTTGAGCCACATCCCCAGCCCTGTTGCTAGTATTTTTGGTAATTGCCATTCTGACTGGAGTGAGATGAAATCTTAGAGTAGTTTTGATTTCCATTTCTCTAATTTCTAGAGTTGTTGGACATCTTTTTTCATGCATTTGTTGATCAATTGTATATCTTCTTCTGTGGAGTGTCTGTTCAGCCCCTTAGACCATTTATTGATTTGGTTATTCATTTCTTCCTTTCTTTCTTTTTTTTTTTTTTTTTTCCGGTGTTAAGTTTTTTTGAGTTCTTTATACATCCTGGAGATCAGTGCTCTATCTGATGTGCATGTGGTAAAGATTTTCTCCCACTCTGTAGGCTCTTTCTTCATGTTATTGATTGTTTCTTTTGCTGAAAAGAAGCTTTTTAGTTTGATATAATCCYATTTATTGATCCTTGATATTACTTCTTGTGCTTTTAAGAGTCTTGTTAAAGAAGTCAGGTTCTAAGCCTACATGATTAAGAGTTGGGCCTACTTTTTCTTATATTAGGTGCAGGGTCTCTTTCTAATTCCTAGGTCATCAATCCACGTAGAGCTGAGTTGTGTGCAGGGTGAGAGATAGGGGTTTAATTTCATTTTGCTGCATAGTGATTTCAAGTTTTCCCAGCACCATTTCTCTAATGTATGCTTTTGGTACATACATTGTCTAGTATGAGATAACTATATTTATGTGGGTTTTGTCTTTCTGTCCTCTATTCTGTACCACTGGTCTTTATGTCTGTTTTGGTGCTGATACCATGCCATTTTTGCTACTATAGCTCTGTAGTATAATTTAAGGTCTGGTATTGGGATGTTTCCTGCTTTACTTTTCTCACTGAGGATTACTTTGGTTCATTCTGAGCCTCTTATTATTCTAAAGTAATTTCATTTAGATTAGATTGCTTTTTCTATTTCTGTGAAGAACATCATTGGAACCTTAATAGGAATTGCATTAAATCTGTATAGCACTTTGGTAGTATGGCCCTTTTGATAATATTAATTCTGCCTCTCCAAGAACATGGGAGATCTTTGCATTGTCTAAGGTTGTCTTCAATTTCTTTCTTTAGTGTTCTGTAGTTTTTATTGGAAAGGTCTTTCACCACTTTTGTTAAGTTGATTCCCAAGTATTCTATTTTCTTTGAGGCTATTATGAGTGGGATAGTTTTTCCTAAATTTTCTCTTAGCTGATTCATCACTGATATATAGGAATG